CAAGCTGGACACTTAGAAACTGAGATGCAATGGCCACTTTGGAAAGCTTCATTTATAGGCACAGCAGTCCTGAATACTGCAAAGAATAGTATCAGTCTCATCTGCTGAGGAAGACTTTTCCAACTAGGAAAGTGTGCTCCTATCTGCTTATACCCCTCCCACCTTCACCATCAAGTGGCTCAGTTTCACCTCATTTCCTGTTCTGGAAGATTACAGCAGCTCCTTTTCATCCTGGTTCACTCAGATATAAGATTCATTGAACCACTTGGTGCAGGATCTAGTATGGGGTATCCCTGCCCATGCAGGGGTTTGGAACAGGATGATCTTAAGGTCCTTTCTAACCTAAACCATTCTGTGATTCTATGCATACCCTTCAATATACTCCTGTCTGAACACTTGCTACGGACGGGCCCATTAGTGAGAGATACATACAGATGTGACCTAGCACAGATCTTTCATCTATTTTTGCCTGAAGCAAGTTTTCTGACACTCTTTCTTGAAAGCTAAATGAGGTGAGGGAAATATCACACAGCAAACCCATGTCCCTCCCAAATAAGCTCAGTACTAAAGCCGAATAAAGCACCTGCACCTACTTCCAGCCTGAGCCAATACTGGAGACTAAAGCATAACTCCTCATCCTCTAAAGACCCCTGCTCACTAAAAGAAGCTAAAGCTTAACTTAAAACCAATACTCCCAACATGGGTGAGGGTCACTACTAACACATGGATTGTTCTACTTGTAGGGGCAAGTGGGAATACATTTTTATCAAACCTTAATTTTTTTTCCAACAGAAACAAAGCAGGAAGACAAATCCTCCTGTTCACTTTGCCCCTGGGTTCACAAGCAATGACGGCCACACAACATTTTCATGGCACCCTTCACCCAATGACCCCGAAGTGCTTTTACTTCCCTCAATGAACTTGGCTTCACAGCAGCCTGACAGCTCCATTTTACGTGGGAACTGAGAGATGATGTAATTTACCAGCACAAAATCAGCTCCTACAGACTATCACCTGCTCACACGCTATTACATGGGCACTTTCTGCCCCAGCCCTGCAGAAGTCAACAATGGCTTTAAGACACTCCTTAACTCAGAGGCTCGAGACCTACACTGCTGTTTATGTTATTAGTGTTTCCTGGTAACATCACCCTTCTCTTCTATTACCTTAGGGTGAGAAAAGTCTCATTTTTCACCTAGCCATCCAGGGAAGCACATTACCAGCAAACAATCCCCCAACACCACCCCTCCAACCACCCCAGCCCATAAGAAAACCCCACTACAATAACAAAATAACACTAATAATTAAAAAACCCCACCAACCTAACAAACAGATACGGGACAACTGATCTTCCCAACACCTGTAAACACCTGGACCACCTCCTGGATTAAAGGAGCTTCATATTGTTGCAACCTAGTTGTTGCTTCTGTACGTACACGATACTCCACTATAGGCCAAGGTTCTTCCACTGACCACACACATTATGGCATAGGTTAAAGAACAACATGAAAAGACAGTCTGCCCAATGCAAAAAGGTTCTTGCGGCAGAAATACGTCCAAGTTTGATTAAATAACAAATTTGGATTAAAAAGCTCCAAAACAGTAAGGTGTGCACCACAAAGCCCATTGCTACACCATATAAAGTATCACAATGGGGTTGTCTTAGCAAACTTTGCATGAAATCTATAGGGGCAAGAATATTAGCCACTTCAAGTCTCAGCAGAAGCCAAATGCTCCTGTTTTGGTACCAAGAGACAGCATCCTCATTCCCCTTGACACCACTTCACAGGGCAAAGCACTCAAATCCTGACCCTAAGGGTCCATTGTTCTGTTAAAGCAAAGTTTCACCTTGAGGAAGGCCAAGTGGAAGCTCTTAGCATATGTTAAACTAACAAGATGCTCCAGGACTTATACATGGGAGAATGAATTTGTTTTGAATTCACCATCATCTGCCAACGCACAATTGCACAGGATGCAGATATGTTTGGTAGACAAAAGGGCTCAAGGCCCTAAAGCTTCTCCAGGGAGATACTTGAGTTGGGAGCCTGTTTTCTGCTGAGCCCACATCAGTGCCCTCATGCCTTTTTACTGCGTTTTATCTCAGTAGATGAAACAAGTATTTCCAGAAGAGAATCATGCTGATGCCGGGTGAAAGCAAGCTCTTCGATATGACTAAACACAGCTTGCATCAGACAACTAACCCTGCAACTGACATCTTAAATGCAAAGAACTCTGGAAAACTCCTGGATTTCTGCCAAACTAAAGGTCATTAATTACATAGTTCTTTATTCCCAGAAGACTTAATTTATAGGTCATAATTTTACTTCCCTTTACTGAAAACAAAACTGAAGTTTACACTTCCCTTTCTCTTACAAGTACACAAGAGCCTTGTGCCTGTGTTCTCACAGACAGCCTAATGGCTCTAAAGTAAGCATAAAGACAGGAGGAGGAAGTCAGTCTTCATAGGCAAGATGTTATTATAAACTTGAATGGAAAAATACCAAGCTGTTCCCATATTTCTCTACAATTTTACAAATCAAAGTAAAACAAAAGATGTGGACTGACACATAACCATATTCATAACCTGGTACATGCCTCCAGTTCCATGGTTTCTTACCCACTCACACCTTCTCCCCACTTTAGCATAGCAAACTTGCTCCCAGTTAAACACAACTTTTCTAGACTGAACTAAGACTAGAAACACTCTTTAGGCTGATGCTTTCCTGACGATTGGTACCAATCTTCCCAATCTCCTGCTTTCCAGATAGATTCACTGTCCTTCAATGGTACTATTCCTCTTAGCCCTCCTATTTTCTATTTCATGATTTTATTAGACAAAGAGCCAAAGGGAAAGCAGAGGCAACTGTCCAGCTCTGCCTGCTGAGCAGATACAAAGAGGAAGCTCCATTCCATGACCAGCTCCATAACACAAAATGGAAAGAAGTGAAATGAACAGTTAGAAGGGGAATCCTGGCTTTGGAAAACAGACAACATTATCAAGGAATTAAGAGCAAATTGAATATGCAGCAAATTAGCAGATCTGGTATAAAAGCATTTAAGCCTAGCTAATGACAGAACAGACTGCGAGAAAAATCCAGTACCCTCCAACAAGCCCAATAGTGGAGTAGTGATTCTACAGCTCTAATCCATCAATCTTCAGAGGTTTGGGTTACTCAGGGTATTTGCACTTTTGAACCAGCATCACTGCTTGGATTTCAGAGATAGCAAAGACACAGCAGTAAAAAATTCCACTTGCAGGGCATAATCTGCTGCCAGCTTCAGGCCAGAGGGCACAGCTCACTGCTCTTGCTGCTTGCTGTTACAAACCTCAGTCATCTGATTTGCATTCTGAGCATGCATTTCAAAAGTTACACCTGGAAAAGTCAACGGTAGAAGTCCTATGCACACTGCACATTACAGGGGTATTCATAGTAAAATAAGCCTAAGATCATCCTTAAGGCAGAGTTTTGGGGATTCTTTTAATTGCACTTACTAATTAACACCACAGAAACAATTCCTTGCTCTTTATTACTAATTTCCTCTTATTCTCTAGCTCACTATTGGTTTATCTCCAGCACATACCATAGGCCCCAAGAGTAGGGACTGCTTTCAGAACAGCTACAGATGAGTAGATATTGTGCTTTCTGGGCTTTGAAGCAGTTTACCCATTTGCCACACTGCTTTTAGTCTGAAGGATTAAGCCTAAATAACCCCTACACGTCATCCCCAGTGCCTCAGACAATGGCTCCAAAACAATGTCATGCAATTTAAAGGACTGCCACGGTCACATATTACCTTCCATTCCACATCCCACCAACCCAATTCCTGCTTCATCAGCTTTCAAAGTGATGAAGCTTGCGTTCATGCCTCCCTTTCCTGTGCCTTGTTCTGAGGATGCATTCTCTTCTCTCATGCTCCAAGTTTCCTTCTGCCTCCTGGCACACACCTACACTACTTTTCTCATCCCTCAACCTCATCCCTACCTACTCTTCCAAACAAAATCCTTCTGCACTTTTCAGGTGTTTCACACGTGCTCCCCCCATCTCTCACTCTCCCCTTGAACACAACCGCATTCCGGCTACCCAGACACAGATGCCACCCCTCCACATCCTTCCAGCCGAGCACAGACGCAGCAGCTCTAGGGCATCTCTTCCACTACTTCTGCCTCTCCCTGCCTTGAGAGAAAATAGTACCCAGGAACAGCCTCCCCCTTGCCAGAAAGCCTCAGACACCAGCAAACCCCATTACAGACACCTAACAGAAGCAATACCTTCATCACCACACACTCACCTCTCAGCTACTTTTTCCCTAAAGTGAGCAGCTGCCTGACATCTCACAAGCTCTTTGCTTTCCCTGCAGTAGATCAGACCCTTATTTCCACACCTCATCCTTCCCTGCCTCAGCCATACATACCTATCAATAACCAAGTACTTGAGAGAAAGGAGATAAGGTTTTGATGCCAGCACAGAAAGCAAAGCTCAGTTTCTGCCCAAACCAACACACTTAGAGCCCCAGTTAGCACACTCTTGCTTCAGCACAACCTAATCAACACTAAGCCCTGCAGGCTTCCCTGAGTCTGCCTGACTCCTGGCCTCTTTCCCAGCACCTTCCTGTTGCAGCCATTCAGCTGTTGAACATTTTGCTTTAAGAATAAAAAGCAGCTACATGAAATCTACACTGTGTTTTCAAATACCTACAAGTACTGATAGGAAACAGCAGGGCTCTGAAAGGCTCTCTCTGATAATGAGATGAGAACAGAACCAGTCTTTTGCTATTGATCGCTTGTGTCTGCTATAGCTGTCCCTGGACTGAGGAACATGTGCAGCTGTGGCAGGGATGAAACATTTCTGCCATCAGTTCTCACCACTGACATGCAACTCAAGACACAGACCAGCATCAACCAAGCGCATACCCTTAAGGTGTCAGTAATAGCAGGAACGCAATGCAATCAGCATGTGCTCTCCAACTACCAGCATGAGCTTGTAACAGAAAGTTCTCACCTGCCTGGCCACCCTCCGAGCTTCCCAGTAAGGTTTAGAGTCTTCTACGGCTTTGCCAATCTTCTTCACCAGTTCATCCAGTTTTACTGTTGCTTCGACCAGCACAGAGCGGAACTTCTGGCGTGCGTCCTTCAGAATGGTGCAGAAGGGAAAGACAGAACAAAGACTGATTAGAGCTTTAAATATTCTTTCTACCTGTTTGCTCCCACCCTCAGGTTGCTCAATTTAGACCCACACACACGGCGACGCATTCAAAGCGGTTACTGGTATTTGGACTAAGCCAGAGTTCTTCACTAGAGGTAGTAACAAGAACCCAGAGCCGTACTGGAAAGCTGGCATCCTGGACACCAAATCTTTGTCTTTCAGAGACCGCTTCCATCTAAAGCCTGCAATACCCTGTGCTAGGTGTCACCTCTGGCAGGGTTTTACAGAGAGGAATAGATGTAGATTACTCAGTGAGGAAGCAAACAGCAGCACAACAACTTCCAGTAGGGAGTTCAGTGACAAAGACATCTAGACAACACTAGAATGAGGCCAGCAGACAGGCCAAATACCCACACCAGCTGGAATTAGCATCTCCTAAACCTTAGCATGTGACACCCCTAATATTGTTCCACCACTTCACAACGTGAACAAAGATGGACAGGATCTGCTTCCTGCAAGAAGAAATGGAGGCATCCCACATGGTATATTCTCAAATCAGCTCCTCTTTCCTTTTATAAGCACACCCTACTTACTTTGATAGCAGCAAAAAGCTTCCAGGTCCTCATGGCATGACTTCTTGCTATAAAAGCCCATCTTTTCAGCTGCGGCTTGTACGAATGGGTAAGGACACCTACATCCCATTTATTATTTACTACATTTACAAAAAGCAAATTCCAGCTACTTCCAAACTGGACAAATTGCCCTCTTCACATGATTAGCCAAAGCAATGAAAGTATTTTCTCTGCTCCACTGTTAAGCAGAGTGATCCTGATTTCGATCTCAGCATCCAACACAGGCTCTAAATCAATGGAATTATTGCAGAGAGATGCAAATTCAGGCTGGGAGCTAGCCCGGGATTTAAGACTATGAAGAGGAAGGGCCATGTGAGCTCTTGACAAACCTTGTAATTCTAATGAGAGAGCAGCATTGATGCAGACTGCCGGAGTGACATGGTGATTATCAGGAAGCAGCTGGCTTGAAGAAGTGCTCTGATTCAGGAGGGCTTTGACATTATTGTTGAGGATTTCTAGAATGCACAACTCTTTATTCCCTGGAAGAATTAAAACACACAGGAACCTACCACTATGCATTCAGAAGTGGAAAAACCCTGCAATAATACATTAGTTTTTACAGAAAAAGCGACATACTTCAGTAACAGCTTCTCTGCTTCCTTTATTATAGAATGGAAGCTGCTCTGAGGTCTTCACACAGCTTCTCCAGGCTGAACAGCCCCAATGTTCTCAGCCTGTCTCCATACAGGAGGTGCTCCAGCCCCTGATCATCCTCGTGGCCTCCTCTGGACTTGCTCCAACAGCTCCATGTCCTTCTTATGTTGAACACACCAGAACTGCACACAGTGCTGCAAGTGGGGTCTCATGAGAGCAGAGCAGAGGGGCAGGATCACCTCCCTTGCCCTGCTGCTCACGCTGCTTTTGATGCAGCCCAGCACTCGGGAGGGTTCTAGGCTCAAGCGCACACTGAAGCTGCTCATGTTCAGTCTCTCATCAACCAACTGCTCTGAATCTCTTCTCTGCCCAGCCTGCAGCTGTGCCTGGGATTGCCCCAACCCAGGTGTAGGACCTTGCACTTGGCTTGGTTGAACTCCATGAGGTTGGCATTTGGCCACCTCTCAAGCGTGTCAAGGTCCCCCCTGGATCCTATCCCTTCCCTCCAGTGTTTCAACTGAGCCATACAGCTCGGTGTTATCTAAAACCTTAGCCAGCATTGGTAACATTTTAGCCCAATGCGAATAGTTTAGATTCCTCAGGCACCTCACTTTGTTCCAAGGGAGTATTCAAATGGATAACAAGGTCAAAAACGGAGATTAAACGCACGTTCATTTATTATTTAATTGACTCCCACCCAGTCAATAATCTCATTTCTTCGTGAAAGCCTGAAATGCATCATTAAAACAATGGGTACTGAGTCGATGATTTTCCCAGCGAGAAGAATTTGAATACTTCCAAATTAAAACACTGGATGATACATGGTTCACTGTTCAACATGAGTTTCACAAGCAACTGCAATCAGACTGCAAACACGATGACTGCATTGCAAGAGAAACGTTAAATATTGACGCATATTCAGCATAATCAGTCTCCCTACAAGTACAGGAACAAAATGAAGAACTTATTTCTAAATGAGAGAGCCTGAAGGTTTGGTTTTCGCCTTCTCTGTGAAAGGTGCATATTAGGGTGCTAATTGTGGATAGCAAACAGCTCAAGAAAACTAGGCATGTATATGTGTTAAGCAAAAAAAGCCCTATGCAGTGATTCATCAAACAAATCAGTTCACGTTTAGATAAGCACTTGGAACAAAGACACCATCATTACGAAATCCGTGCAGGGAGACCTACCCCATATTTATTCATTTCATAATTGCACACACTCTTATCTATTAGGATAAAGAGGTCCTGGTCTCCACCTGGATTTTAAAAACTAGAACAGAAAAAAAGAAACCAAAAGCCAAGGACAGAGCCGTGAAGCCAACAGCAAGTTCTGTACTTATTAATCCTCCACCAAATCAGATGAAGCACATACAGATTGCTGAACTGTAACTAAACCTGTACCTGGCACCTAAGGCACAGGTCTTTCAAATGGCTGAGCAGACATTTGTCCATGACTACAGCCACACTTCAGTTGGTAGTTAAACAGAACAGGGAGCTCCAGCTGAAGAATATGGTGGTGTCAACTTCCAGTTTATCATTTACCCCATAAGAGGCCCACTTCCTATTTTGAGGCATTATTTGGGTCTGATCATCTTCACTTTTTCCAGTGAAGAACAATAACAAAAACTGAAAGCCCCAGAACTTTATACCTGTGTCATCCATCACATGACTTATTTCAAATGACATTTATCCTCAGGTTCCTGACTGTCAGGAGCACAAGCCTGCAGGCTCTGCCACCCTCCGCATGAGAGAACAAGCATATGTTCATACTCTGTTGTGATCAATCTCCCTAACAGACGCTTCCAGGCATCCCCTTTGGACACAGCAAGAAGATGCTGGGGTCTCTTGAGAAGGCAAAATGCCAAACCCATCCCCTCTCCTGCACTACGTGCATCAATTTTACTCTCCACTAGCCCCAACTACACTACAAAAAGCAAACAACCCCATGTTATGTATCTATACCGTGCACATCCTGCAACAACCCAGTGCATTCACAGAACAGTTAGGGTTGGAAAGGACCTTAGGATCATCCAGTTCCAACCCCCTGCCATGGGCAGGGACACCTCACACTAAACCATGCCACCCAAGGCTCTGTCCAACCTGGCCTTGAACACTGCCAGGGATGAAGCATTCATAACTTCTCTGGACAACCTATTCCAGTGCCTCACCACCCTTACAGTAAAGAACTTCTTCCTTATATCCAATCTAACCTTCCCCTGTTTAAGTTTTAACCCATTACCCCTTGTCCTATCACTACAGTCCCTAATGAAGAGTCCCTCCCCAGCATCCCTATAGGCCCCCTTCAGATACTGGAAGGCTGCTATGAGGTCTCCACACAGCTTATCTTCTCCAGGCTGAACAGCCCCAACTTTCTCAGCCTGTCTTCATACATTCAAACTGATTCAGCTCTCACGGTCCCTGACACAGCTCCGATCTGGGAGCTGGGGCACAGCTCCCTCCTGCAAACACGCAGCCACACTCAGTGTGCTGGCTCAGTGTCAGCCCTGCCACGTGCTGGCAAAGCATCTGTAAAAGTCATCACACTGGGACAGTGCAAGCTTCCCCTGGCAGGTGCCTCCAGGGAAGTTTAAATGAGAAACATCGATGCAGCAGCTATTTTTACTCTTCATGTGAAAACAGGGTGGTCAGAAGCACCAAGAGAATCAGGTTGCTTTACAAGCAAGGCAAGCCCAGGAACACTGGGCTTGGTGCACTTGCTGCTTACTTGACATGAAACGCTCACCCGTGTTTCATAGGAAGGATGGGACTGTGGTCAAAGCAATAACTTGGGAATCAATTTAATTCCCTGCTCTGTGTCTAGCTTCCTGTTTTATTGTCAGCGAGGAGCTATGACCCACACGTGAAGCGGTTCAAAACTATAAATCCTCTTAATGGTGTTTACTGTAACTACACTCACGTCAAAAACTTAGAGGCCCAAAGAGCACAGCAGTGCAGTTCATCCACAGTCCCCATCAGGAAGGGAGCCTTAACATCTGTGTTAGGGAGACAACCACACCAAGCAAGAGCTCTGCTCTCATCAGCTTTCTTCCTGGAAATCCTTAGCACCTTCCTCTCAAATGACAGATCTCATGAGCAGAATCATAGGGAGCATGCCAGGCTTCTGCCCCATATATGCTTTTGTGCAATAGTTCATCATTAAAAACAGACTTTGTTTCCAGTAACTTGCTATTGGGCAGCAACCTGCTATTGCACCAGAAGAGGGACAACACTTAACAACAGGCCATCCACACTGCAGGATTTTGGAGATCCACCCTCCAATGTGTGGAGAAACTAAGCCACAACTTTACACTTACACTGCACTGGAGAATAAAGCACATTTGTTTTCCTTCCTCATGAGTGATGGGGATGAGGTGGTGCCAGATGCCAGGCAAATAATTATTTCTGCCCATCAGACGCAGCTTGTACTTTCAAACAATTTTCTTTTTAAAATGAACTTCACACATCAACTGGGTACGAAGCATCTTGGTGCCAAGCACATCTAGATTTCATTCACAAAGGCTGTCCTATGCCCTTTGCGACAGCTTGGTGTGCAGAACCTCCAACAACCCATTAAACAAGCCTGGAAGGTGCAATGGGAAAATGACATTACTGACTGAGAGACAGGCTTCATCTGTTTCCAAGAGACAGGCAGCATCCATACCTGCCTTCCTCTGCTACAGAGACCTACCAGCTGCCAAAGCTCATTTTCCAAGCTTTAACAGCACCTGTATCAACAACATCCAAGTGCGAAAGCAGG